GGGGTGTCGCTGGGCCTCTGCCTCACCTCACGCTCACAAGCAGCTGGGACGAGTCTAAATGCCAAGCACGCACACGGGCTCAGGAAGCAGTCCCGGCTGCCACGCCCGCCCAACCGGCATCACGTGCATTGCACACGAGAAGGTTCACGCACTGCTGACAACTTAAAACATTGTTCAAATTCTGCAAAAGCTGGAAATTCATAGCCAGTTGCAGCAGGAGGACAGAGTGCTCCGTGGACCTTTCACCCAGATTCCCCTCGATCGCATGTTACATACATGTCAGTGCATCAGTAACACCAGCAGGCAGACACGGGTGCAATCGACACGCTTTATTCAGCTGTTGCTGGGTTTTGCATGCACGTGTGTGTATGTGTGTGTGTGTGTGCACACATGTGTGGTTTTATGCTATGGAAAACTTTATTTAGATCTTGTTTTAGTGGCTGCACAAAATTATACTGACTCTTCCCTTTAAAGCATCATTTAAATGTATAGTGTACACCTCACTCCCCCTAAAACTCTGGACAGAAACAATGAAGGTTTTTGGTGTTTAATTCCTGAAAAAGACCTAATTCTAGCTGGGTTAGTGTCCTTGGCATAAGAAAGAGAAGTAGCCCGGCCAGAGTAGCTCAGTGGTTGAGCGTCCACCTATGAGCCAGGAGGTCACAGTTCGATTCCCGTGTCTGGGTCGCGGGCTCCCTCCCTAGCAGGGGGCGTGCAGGAGGCAGCCGATCAATGATTCTCTCTCATCATTGATGTTTCTATCCCTCTCTTCCTCTCCCTTCCTCTCTGAAATCAATAATGTATATTTTAAAAAAGAGAAAAGAAAGAGGGGTAGGCACACCCTGCCCTCTGACATGTCCCGGACTCCGGGGATGTGAATACCGCCCAGACCTCAGTGTGGGCACTCGGTGAGGCAGCGGGACATCGTGGCTCATCTTCAAAAATGCAAAGTCTGCAGACGAATCCAACCAGCTGTGCGGGGTCTCTGCTGGCGGGATGCTGTGAGAGATACTAAGTCAACTTAAATAAGACACGTAAGCTCCATGCATGGCGAGGATGGTAGAGACGGCGTGCTCCCCCAATTAACCTAAATATTTAATGTGATGCCAATTAAAACCCTAGCAGGTTTTTGTCTTTTTTCCTTTTTGGTGGCAGGTAACGAGCTGATTTTAAAATGTACGTGAGAGTACCAAGGGTCAAGAATCACTAAGATGAGAAAACTGTCCCGTCCGAGAGCAAGACCTATTATTACTCTGTATTAATTATTAATGTTGGTTAATCCTCACCTGAGGCTATTTTTGCGTTGAATTTTAGAGAGAGTGGAAGGGAGGGGGAGAGACACAGAGAGAAACATCAATGTGAGAGAGACACATCATTGAGTTGTCTCCCACCTGCGCCCCGACCAGGGCCGGGGATGGAGCTCGCAATCGAGGTACCTGCCCTTGACCAGAATCGAACCCGGGACCCTTCCGTCCACCAGCTGACACTCTATCCACAGAGCCACACTGGCCAGAGTGCTCTGTATTAATTTAGACCACGAGGTACCAATAGGCCAATGGCACGGATGGAGGGAGGCCGGAAACGGGCCCAGGATAGATGGGACCTTGATGTTTGCAGAAGCTGGTGTGAGGGAGCCCGGGGGGAGGATGGGTTTAAAAACCAGAAATCGGTCCGGGGACACTGGGCACCCATAGGGTGAAGTGGTGGCGGGGCCCTCCTTCCTGCCCGGCATAGGTACGTGTTCCAGGTCGAGAAGGTCCTGAATGCAAAAGTAAGATGAAAGCCTCTGGCAGATGCTGTGGGCGAGTGTCCGCACGAACGGGGAGGGCGGGGGGGCCCTTTTCCCAACGAGACAGGGAAGACTCACCCTGGAGGGAAAGGCTGCTGTGCCCACTGTGCTCAGGGCTTCGGTGGCCGGGAAGGCGAGTGGAAGGACCGGTCGGTGAGGGAGAGGCGGTGTTTGCGGCACGCACGACGGTGCACAACCGGTGCTCAGAGGAGCCCTCAACCTCCGAGAAACAGCCTCTGAAATGCGGGGTCACATACCGAGCCGGCCCCCGACTGAAAACCAAGGGCATCTAGTTGGTCCATGAACGTGCGAACGCTTTCTCAGCCTTTTTTTTGTTTTGTTTTTTAAGAGAGAGTGGAAGAGAGAGGGAGAGAGGGACGGAAACATCAGTGAGAGAGAATCAGGAGAGAAACATCAATCGGCTGCCTCCTGCACGCCCCCGACTGGGGATGGAGCCGGAAACCCGGGCCTGTGTCCTGACCGGGAATTGAACCGGTGACCCCTTGGCTCATGGGTAGACGCTCAACCACTGAGCCACACAGGCTGGGCTCACTTATTTTAACCAAGAAAGTGCACGTCAGAGCCACGGCGAGCTTGGGCTCTGCAAGCCTCCGGTTGGCAAAATATATGCGTGCAGCAGGTCCAGGGAGCTGGTGAAGACGCGAGACAACTCGGCTGGTAGCCACGGGTGTCTCCCAACGTCGATGCTGAATGAGCTGTGGGCGGTCCATTCCCCAGGCCCAGCCGGTTGTGAAGGATCTAGGGCAGGGGTGGGCAAACTTTTTGACTCAAGGCCCACAATGGGTTCTTAAACTGGACCGGAGGGCCGGAACAAAAGCATGGATGGAGTGTTTGTGTGAACCAATATAAATTCAAAGTAAACATCATTATATAAAAGGGTGCGGCCTTTTTTTTTTTTTTTAGTTTTATTCATTTCAACCCGGCCGGATCCGACCCGCGGGCCATAGTTTGCCCATGGCTGGTCTAGGCTGTGCCCCCGAGGAGCTGGATGGTGGGGGTCTGAGCGACTGGGGGGCCGCTCCCTGGCGGGAGGAGGGGCCGCTGGCCCGTGGACACCCTGCGCCTTCTCTCCGTCTCCCCTCAGGTCAATGGAAGAACCCGTTCAGCCCCCACGTCACCAAACCCCAAGACTTCCACGTGGATGAGAACACGGTGGTCAAGGTGCCCATGATGTTTCAGAACCAGGACAACCAGTGGTACCTGCACGACAAGCACGTGCCCTGCTCGGTGCTCCGGCTGGACTACAAGGGCGGCGCCCGGGCGCTCTTCATCCTGCCCGACCCCGGGAAGATGGCGCAGGTGGAGGAGGTCCTGACGCCCGAGATGCTGGGCAGGTGGAGCAGTTTGCTGGAGAAGAGGTACCCGGCAGGTGCCGAGCGGGCAGCGCCCACTGCGGGCCTTCGAGTAGAAGCCAGTGCCCAGCTCTGAGTGCGGCCCCTTCGCTCGGAGACCCCCTGGGTGGGTCTTTAAGCCGTGACCTCTCCTGCTGCCTCAGCACGTGGCTGTCCTCACAGTGACACGGGACGCGGGCGAGGGGTGGAGGCCTCGCTCTACCTGCAGCTCTGCCCTGTACCAGCCTTGGGGGAGGCGACGCCAGCCCTCGGGGGGCCCAGCCCTGTGCCACGGAGGGGCACCTCCGTTGGGAGGGCTGACCCGGCCCCTCGGGGTGTAAGGAAACCCCGGCTTCCACCCAGCAGCCATCAGGGAGGTTCCCGTCGCCCGGGGCTGTGAGTGGAAGCGAAGGGCCTCCAGGAGGCCTGTGTGATGGAGACCTTCCCCGTTCCTGTGGCCGGGATGCGGCCCAATGGCATCATCAGGTCCCAAGTAGTGAGACCCTGGGCCCAACAGAGCCCGGGCAGGGCTGCCCGGAGGGGTCTCGGCTCTCTCTGGGCGCCTGGCCCCACAGAAAGCGGCCTCTGTAGGAGAGGAGCCCCCGGGGTAGGGGAGGGCCCCCAGATGACAGTCCCCGGGGCAAAGGAGCTGCCGGGAGCCCTGGGGTGACGGGCGGGCGCACGCGGTGTGACCCTCGGGGGAGGGCCCGGCTGGGCGTCCAGGGCGTTCACCCCGTGCCTCTTTCAGGTCCTATTCCCGGAAGCTCTGGCTGTACCTCCCCAAGTTCTCCATCTCGGGCTCCTATAGCTTAGACCAGCTGCTGCCGCGGCTGGGCATCCGGGACCTGTTCTCGCGGCAGGCCAACCTGTCCGGCATCTCCGCACGGGAGAACCTGATGGTGTCCAAGGTCAGTGGTCAGCGGCCTCCACACCTTCGTAGTCACAGCAACGGGCAGCGGAAATTCAGGGCCAGGAGCAGGAGGGTGCAGGAGGCGGGCTGGGCGCCTGCGTGTCAGAGAGCTTTCCCAGACGAGAGAAGGGCCTGTGACTTCGGCGACGTGAGACGCGAGTGCGCTGGAGGGCAGAGCCTTGGACTTGAGGGCTAGCATCCCAGTCCCGCCTCTTATGTTACAGGATTACTGGGCTCTAGTGTCTTCCTCGAGGGGTGGCTTAGAAGATTAGAAAGAGCCCTGGCCGGCGTGGCTCAGTGGATAGAGCGTCAGCCTCCGGACTGAGAGGTCCCGGGTTCGATTTTGGTCAAGGGCATGGACCCGGTCGGGGCTCATGTGGGAGGCAACCAGCCGATGTGTCTCTCACACTGACGTTTTCCTCTCTGTCCCCCTCGCTTCCACGCTCTCTAAGAATCAATGGGAAAATACCCTCAGGTGAAGATTAACAACAAAGAAAGAAAAAGATTAGCAAGTGCAGGGGACAGGAAGTGCTCAGTGAAGGGCACTACCTGTTGTGTCACTCAGAGGCCGTCAGCTCCGCCGCCTGCCCCGTAGAAATTCCTGC